CACCCCTGTTCTTGTCCTCGTCCTCTCTGTTTTATACCTTCAAGTTTTGTACTTGATTTCTGCATGTGTAAAATTTAGGGGGGGGGGGACGAGGGAGATGGGGAGGGGGTTCCTAAACATGTGGTATGCTGACCAACACCTGACCCCCAACCCCCTAAGGAAATACCTGCATCCGACCCTGCGGGCTGACAATGCAAGGCAAGAACAATGGCAGATAGTTTACATGGGCGTGCGTGGCGGGCATCAGTGTCCGCGCTGGAATTTATGATTATATTGCCAGATGCAGATCAAATACTCGCACGATAATAATACCGGTACCCACAAACATTCACAGCGAGAGGATGCGTACATACTGATGACGCATATAACAATGACGCTCCCGCGTGCACAACGTGGGACCGTTTGTATACGCTTGACGTATTCTCGGGAGACACACGCGCGCACATGCGCACTAACAACGCTCAATCGTGACACATGCCCACACTCTTCGAAATGCCTGCGCGTCTACTTACCCGCAAAACACTCAAAAAGCCACTCTCTGAGATCTAGAAAATCAGCTCATCGAGTGATGAGGCGGAACATCCGTTTAGACCTAAAAATGAAATCTGCGCTGTGGCATTGTGCAATGCAAAACATCATGCTTGCATTACGTCATGCCACAACGCAGACTTAATTTCGAGGTCTAAACAAATGTTCCGCCTCATAATTCGCTGAACTGATTTTGTAGAACACAGAGTTTGGCTCATATAGTGTTTTGCGCGTAAGTGTACGCGCAGGCATTTCTTAGAGCGTAGTAAACATGTAGCACTCCCGTATACTCAAACGCAGTCTGAAGCACATGTTGATGCAGGAACAACTATATGTAGTTGTTTCTGCCTTCACAGTATGTACAGCGCCCCTCAAACTTAACGCCACCACTCGGTTACGCAAATATTGATCTATTGCATGGTACCTAGAGTTAAATTAGTCGCTGCAGCTGCTGGAATACCTTCCCTGGTTGGGTTTTCATCGGGGACGGAAATCTTCACCAGCTAGTTCGACCGCTAGGTTCAGAAAGAGCTAAAAAAAATTAAGAAACCGGACCATCTCGTGGTGGCGTTAAGCTTGGGGCGCACCGTACATAATACAAAACTAAAAGCAAAAAAAGAAAAAGAGCGATTGAGACAATATAAAAAGAAAAGGAAAGAAGAAAGAAAGCCAAAATAGGACACACCAAAGACATATCACAAGCTGCCAACAAGCCTCTTTAAAATGTTACGAGGAGAGAAAACAATTCTAAATCACTCTTTTCGCGGTTTTCAGGTAGTTGTAAACGTGCCGTCGGGGACGCGACGTCAACGTTCTGCGAGTGAAACAGAGAAGATCTCATACGCCTTTGTGGAACACAAACAAGCAAAGGCGCATCCGCATCCCTCCTGTAGGTTTCCCGTATAAAGCGTTCCTTCCCCACAGAGGCCTTGACGACTCTGTTTAAGCTTCTAAACACAATGGCGTCATTTTGCCTCCCACAATATCTCCTTTCTGCTCTCCTTGAGCATTTCTTTACGAATTAAGTACCGAATGGACGTACGCAACCAATAAAAATAGCGAAGAAGTACAATAAACTGCCGCGAGACATCGAGATTGCGGCTGATCGCTCGAACAAAAGAGCACACGGGGGCCGTCGTCGGTGGCCGGTGTACCCTTCCATCGCTCATTTCGATTTAGGTTCGATGAGAAGGGGCGAGCGCTTGATCCAATTACTTCATTGCGAACGAAGACACACTTCCAGTTGGGCTTTTGCGCCTTTTTTTATTTCATTTTTATTTATTTTTTAGTCGCTCGGCGTTTTAAGAACGTAATGCGCGAGCCGGCGGCGAAACTGGTTTGCTCTTACGGGCACGGCTTGTTCGCTTCGTGTGTGCTGCCCGGCAGTTTCTCATCTTGTTACTGACTTTGATCGTGCTTTTATGTGCTTCGTATTTTTCGTTTGCGGTCGTTTCTTTTCTCGCGCGCGGTATACTGAAACGGAAGTGTTGCAGGCGGTGGTTTAACCCCCCTCCTGTCTGTCCAATCGTTCCTTGTGTGTTCTTTTCGTTGTTGTCGGTCTTATTATGATTGTCTGCATCTTCGGTGTGTTTCTTTTTTTTTTTCTTTATTGCGTTAGTTTTTTGGCCGACTTGCCAGTCGACAAGTCTGGAGCTGTGCAGTCGTTTGAACGGTTCTCACAAGAGATTTAGAGCGTGTTTCTCTATCTCGTTCTCTCTTTCCCTTTCTGCTTAACAACGCAAAACAGAAAAAAAAAAAAAAAAAAATTGTACGTAAAACCCAAATTGCCAACCTTTATTTTTTAACTTTTTTTATATATATGTGCTTTTTTTGTGCTATTTGCACTTTGTTGGATGATTGAAAGGCTTCTCCTGGGCGCGCGCGCGTGCGCCAGTTTTCATTCTGAGCCGCGGAAAGGCGAACCGGCGGGCGAACGGGTTTTTTCTCCCCTCCGTGCCGGGTTCAATTCCTGCCCGACCGATCGACGATTTGCCACAACGAGGAAACTGAAAACTGAGTGTGGACCAGGAGGAAAAACAAGAAAACACATTGCCTTTACTTCGGGTGTCATTGGTGTCTTGGATCGGGAACCGGTCCGCTGCCGGTTGTTGCGGCTGACCTCACTTCCCCACCCCCTGGTTCACAGGTTCGCCGGTTCACGACGTGGCGACTTGGTTGGGAAGTGATGATGACCGCGCGTGCCGACCCGTCCTTACTTTTGGCACGCAAACGGATTCTCCCCCACCCCTCCCATCTCCCATCAAAATCTGTTCTTACAGCCACTACAATCTCTGCTCACTTCCGGCATAAACAATCAAGTGGAACGTCATGTCAGTTGTCTCTGTGCACATCGCGGTCCTTTGGTCTAATCGTGTTCTGACCTTAGTCATTCGCTGGGGACTTTCTATTGCCCGCGTGATTCTATGTTTCTGTATGCTCAGAAAAAAAAAAAAAAGAAGAACATACTTTTTTTTTAATGGTGTACGAACCGCCAGGGCCCAAACACGAGCCGTTTACACTCTAAAAAAAATGCCCGAGCGTTGAACTTACCTTCAGCGCACACAAAGACCCAGTGAGAGTGATCGCCAGAGGCAGCTCGGCGAACGATGAGGTTTGACTTAAACAAATTAAGTCATGGGATGTGACATTGAGCACAACGTCTCACATGCCAGATCATGCTCGGTGGCACATCACAGAATGTCTGCGTCGTACGTGTCTTTTTTCGTCCTGTTTGTTCGCGCCTTTTAACCTTTTATGGATGAAGAAAGAATAAAACAATTAAAACAGGGACAACACAACCACATCTTTCGACTAGCAACAGACGAGTAAACTTTCAACAGCGAGCAGCCGACTATACCCAGTAGGAGTAGGGGAGAGAAGGGGGAGAGAAGGAAAGATAAGACACGCGAAGTGCAAGTCAGGGTGGTAAGGTTATCTCGGATTTTAAAAATTCAACCTCAGTTTTCGTCAGCAGGAGGGAAGGGTTTGACACGTTTTTTTTTGTTTTTTTTTTGCTGTGGTCATGGCGAATGATTCATTCGCCATGACCACAGAGTCATTCGCCATGACCACAGCAAAAAAAAACAACGTGTCAAACCCTTCCCTCCTGCTGACGAAAACTGAGGTTGAATTTTTAAAATCCGAGATAACCCTACCACCCTGACTTGCACTTCGCGTGTCTTATCTTTCCTTCTCTCCCCCTTCTCTCCCCTACTCCTACTGGGTATAGTGGGCTGCTCGCTGTTGAAAGTTTACTCGTCTGTTGCTAGTTGAAAGATGTGGTTGTGTTGTCCCTGTTTTAATTGTTTTATCCTTTCTTCATCCATGACTTAAACCAACACGCTCTTCTCCCAAGCTTAACCTTTTAATTCACATTTTCTAACGCCATAGCGTTAGAGAGCTCGTGTCACAGAAAAGCCGGTATCGGTGGCGTGACGGGAAAATCCTGATTGGTCGATAGGGTCATGACGTCACAGCCACATAGCCTCGCGCGAGAATTTCAAACAACGCTCACGTGCAACGTGACGTAACGGGTGGAATGAAAGTGATTAAAACGTGACATGTAATGCGAGTTAAAGGTCGTCGCATGTCTCAAATCGTATCACTTTATAAAGTAATTCATTTGCTTTAAAGAAAAAAACAATTGAAGAATGTTAGGCGGGATTCGAGCCCACGACCATTCCGTTGCGGCCCAGACACGCTCCGAGCTTGAAGTCGAATGAGAAGGCGATGCGAACGGGGACGAATAACGCTATCTTAAAGGCGAAGCTTAAGTGCCCTCCAAGTTTCACTTACTAACCATGTCTTCGGTTTCGTCATTCGCCGAGCTCTCTCCGTCGATAACCGTGATTGAGTTTCCTATGGTCAGAAACACAGGGATTGGCTTATTGTGATCAGGCTTCTTGTTTGGTGATTGGTCCTTCGGCATTCTTATCGGATAATGCCGCAATTTCATTGGCCGCGGAACAACGATAAGACGCCCGGGACCCTTCAAGCCCTGCGTTCCTTAAACCGTCGCGGACTATACGGTATGCAAGTTCGTCTGCTCCTTGCGCACATCGTGCCTGTGTTTACCGGCCAAATGCGCCACGTGACTTTGTCCCCCCCCCCCCCCCCCCCCCCCCCCCCGCCGTCCTCGACCTGTAAGGCGTGCGCCTAGCTGCCTCGTCACTGCGCCGTTCTCTATGTTATCCTTTGATCAGCGTTCTCCCCTTGCATTTCGATGCGACATGACGGATTTTGTTGGAACACTTGCTCAACAAGAGGACACATGATGTTCGTCGAACTTCAATATGAAGGCAAATTAGCTCCATTCCCTATAATTTTATTTAATGGCTGGCTTGAGGTGATTGCAACCGAAGTTCGGGCGTTAAAATTAGCTTCAACTTCCGCACCGTTCTTGTTCCTTTTGCACGTCACAGTGTCAAACAGGTATACTAAAGAAGAGTCAAGATCGATTCGACACAAGAAAATCCGAAATTGCACACTTTATAGGGTTTCTCCGAAAGAGCAAAAATCAACAAGGGCATTCGTACAGACACACAAAATCTCGGCAGGCGCACTCTAGTCATAACTATAGTAGAAGGTGCCCGGGTTCACCACGTTTAATTAGTTCCGGAATTCTTTCTTCGATGGAACATGCTCCTTTCATCATATGCCCAGAATCGAGTTCTCTGTCGTTCAGCAGTTTGCGTTTTGCTGACTGCTGAACCGAAACACTGTCCCTAGAAACAACGAAGCATTAGCGTGTTTCTCTGTCGGAGAAACACTGTTTTGTACAAAACAGTACATCTCCTCAGAGCTACGCGCTCTGTCCTTTTCAGGATCTAAGTAAATATTCACTGGTCATGTACACGACTCAGTAGCTCGCCATCTTAGAGCCGCTATCAGGTTGTAGAATTGAAAAGTCATTTGTACATGTACATGCGACGTCTAGAATCTAGTATCTTCTGAAAACGGCTGAGCCAGGAAAGGTGTAATGCACCACTTACTGTGCTGCTTGAGTGTTACAAGCTCTCTTCGGCGAATGGTTTACACCTATTTGAATCTACTATCAGCTTTGCGGCAAGTTCACGTGTTGGCGACAAGCAATATCGATTTCCGCTTTCTTTGTCAGAAAGTTGTAATCCTAGGAAATGACTTTTTAATGTCTCACGAAGCTTTGAAAGGAGTTCTGTTATCACTGCATGCCATGATGTGACGTGTGGTGTTTGGCCCACCTGGAGTTAATAGGGGCAAAAGAAGGCACATTCAAGAACATTTATCAGTGCACCTTGCCCTTATAGAAGTAAAATATTTACATGATTTTCTGTAGCCCATCCTTTTCAAATGTTTCTTAATTAACAATCTTACTATGCATCAGAATCTTGCGTTATGCTCAAAAGCTATGAACAAGTTCTGCATTGGAGCACTCGGGTTTCGGTAATGTTCTAAATACCAATCAATACATTTTGACGCCTTTTTGCAACAGCTTATGAATTCCATGTATGTCGTTTTAAAACAAATGCATCTGTTATAGTTAATAAGCCAATGTGCGTGTCTGCAACGTTTTCGTCTGCGTATTTGTGGCCGAGGCCTCACTCTACAAACATTCCCAAAGCTTCACCCTCGGATGTTGTCAAAACATGGCTGATTCCGCAACCCTGAAGCCACGCTTTTGTTCGTCAACTAATGCCAGAGCTTATGGGAATAGGCGACTACTCTGAGTTGTGACCAAATCGCCGGAGTCATCTTTTTCTGACGTCTGCAAGCGGAATTGATCGACCGTTAGCTCGACAGGACGAAGCCCTCGGCCACTGCCCATACCCAGAAATCAGCGACGTATCGCAGCTAGTTTCATTTTTAGGAACCAGGACTCTAGCTGGGAACAGAGCGGTGTTAGAGTTCACACGCGTCCACCACCAGCAGTCAGTTCCTCTTGGTACTGACTGATTCCCGACATCACTGCGAACAAATTTACAAGATCCCCGGTGTGCAGGGAGAGAAACCAGCAACCATTTCGACATGATCAGCGTCAGCTTGCTTCCCTTTTTCCTTTAATTCCATCGGTCGGTGAGAAGATGTAAAAACGACGCGGGTGCTCACCGTCAACGGAGCTTTGGGCACGGTACCGCTAACGCAGCCTCGTCGAGATAACATTAATTACAACAACAATAAAACAAAAATAAACGTAACGTTGGAAGAGGGAGTCGCATCCGAGACGGCGGCCCGCGCGGCGGGGGAAGCGGTCGCCAGTCCCGACATTTGACCTGCATGGCTGCGCGCGCAGAGAAACGTCCCACACATGAGTCCTGGCTTGCCGGAAGTCACTCATCGTCCCAGGTGGGGCCGGGGCCGGCCCCCGAACAGCGCTGGGCGAGGTCTCGAACCGAAGGGTCTTCGGCCAGGCTTGCTCTCCGGAGTCACGGCCGGAGCCTCCGTGGCGTGGACCTCCTCGGACGCTGGCTCGGACTCCGACGCCGCGGTCTCTTCGTGCTTGGACGCGGCTTCGGTGGACGCGGATGCCGATGCTTCTTCCTTGGTCTCTGGCGTGGTCACCGGTGACTCCTCGGTCTCTTCCGCCTTGTGCTCCTCTTCGACCTTCTTGGCTCCTGGTCGGTGACGGCTGAAAGGCGTGCGTGGCCGTGGGCCCCGGTTGCTCCTGTTAAAAAGACCTCCGCCTGGACGTGGACCACCCGGTCGTCGATGACCGGCCGTCGTAGAAGAAGCGGGACTTGGCGTGCTTCCGGAACCCCTGGTCCTGCCGTTGGCCTTTGCTCCTCCAAAACGGCTTGGTCCTCCGAAGCGCTTCTTTCCGCCAGCGGTCGTGGTCGCCGGAGCGATCGTCGTCGGCTCGTGCTCCGCGGCGGACTCTTCCTCTTCTGGTTCTTCCTCCTTGTGGTTCCGGGAATGAATGGGGGAAGGACGGCGTCCGAACTGCAGACGACCTCCGGCTGCGGGTCGCGGTGACGGTCTGTTCCTCCTGAGGCCACCGATCGTGCGTCGGGTTGACGGCGTCGCCGTTGTTGTAGTCGTCGAAGTCGTGTGCGCTTTTCTGCCTGGTGGGTGAGCCCTGCCGTGAGGTCCACCGAAGCGCCTCCTGTTTCCGAAGTGTCTCCGAGACTTCTCGGTAGTTGTGGGCTCTTCTGTGGTGGTTGTGGTCGGCGGCAGAGTCGTCGGCGGTTCTGTGGTCGTGGTCGTCGTTGTTGTCGTCGTCTCGACTACCGACGTGTCTGGCGCCTTCTTGCCGATAATTTCGTTGGCTCCTTGAGTTTCAGCGCTTGCTACCGTTGACACGCCTGGTGTCTGAAGAGTGGAACCACTTCGGCTTTCTGAAGGAACACCGACGCCACCTTCAGGAACGAGTACGGCTCCCGTGAAGTCCAGGTTAGGAGGACCCACGACGGGCGGACGCTTGGCTTCAAACGGTTGGCTCGGCAGCAAAGGATGTGTGCCCTCGGACACCGAGACAGACACAGACACCTGGGTTACTGTCTGCGGTGCGGACGTAACGGCCTGCTCCAGAGGGAACGCGGGGGGTGCTTGCTGTTGGCCTGCTGGTGGAATCGCTGTCACCGTTTTGGGCTCGAACCTATGCTGTGGGTTGGGAGACGCAACCACCTTCCCTTTCAGCTTCCCTCCCTCGCCCTTGTCGAAGCCCTCCAGGTTAGGGACGTCGTCAAAGTTGAGCGACGACAGGTTCTTTTTGTTGTCGTCATCGTAATAATAATAGTAGTAGACGACGTACTCGTCCTTTGCCTTATCCTTGGCGGCCTTGTCCTTCGCCTCTGGCTGCTTGCTCTGCTGAATCTCAGATGCAGGCGACTTCTGGATGACCTGCGCCGGAGGCTGGATGGAACCGACGATCTTGCCCTGCCTCAGGGCGTCTTCAGACGACGAGGACGAAGACACTGAGAAGGACTGTTGTGGCCTCGGGAACGACTGAGCGAGCGGTTGGGGCGTTGTGGCTGAAGTCGGCGCCTGCTGCGGAAACGTAAAGCCAACGTTGCCCTGCCTTCCGGTGTCCGCGAAGCTGAACTGCTGTTGCTGACCGTTGAATACTTGCTGCTGCTGCGGCTGCTGTTGTTGCTGTTGCTGTTGCTGTGGAGGGTGCTGTGGGAAGTGACGCAGTTGCTGCTGCAACTGTTGCTGTTGCAATTGTTGCTGTTGCAGTTGTTGTTGCTGCTGCTGTTGACGCTGTGGCTGTAGTTGAGCCTGTAGTTGCTGCTGGTTGAACTGCTGAAACTGTGGCTGCTGCTGTTGCTGCTGGGGTTGCTGGAACTGCTGTTGCGTTCTTACAGTGTACTGAGGCTGAGCAGCCTGACCAAAGTCGGCAGCGAAGCGGATGGGGCTGTTGGGTGGTTGCTGCTGTTGTTGCTGCTGCGAGCCACCCGGTACGTTGGCGTGCGGAGGCAGTGCCCTAACGAACACGCTGAAGTTGTTCGGATCATTGGCCGGGGCTTGCGTCTGACGGACTTGGCGGCCATCAAAGGACGTTGTCTGGGCCGTTGCTGCCGCCAGGAGGGCCGCAATGATCGTCCACCTGCATAGTGCAAACGGCAGAAACCACTTTATGATCTGCGGGCAAACAATCCAAAACCACAGGATGAGAGTGAAACAGCGCCACAAGACGAAGTAAAAGAAAAGTATACACGTGCGCTGACTAAGAACTGAACTTTTAGTTGCCATAGCAGCGAGAAAATAAAATTTGAATATTTTATTTCCCCGTTGCTGTGAGAATAGACCGATCCCACCATGCGGTCGGCGCATGCGTGAAGCCGCCATAATTTTCGTTAGCAAGAGGCAATTGGCAGTGCACGAGACTGTTCGTGTTCTGCTCGTGCAGAGCTCCGGCGAGGTTGTGGCACGTGCAGGAAGACTGAAGTTCCCTGGATTCTTTGCGGCAGCGGTGGCGTACTAAAACAGGCGGGTGAAATCGGTCTATTTCTCTCTGTTTTTCGGTTCTTCGTCTTTTTAGCGCTGTTTCACTTTTGAACCTGTACCAACTAGTACACTGCGGGACACTGTTAAGTCGGTTAGGAAATCGGCGGCCGAGTGGTCCAACGCACACCAGCTTGGAGCACGTGGAGCGAAAGCTCGCGCTGCAGAACCCAGGATCCTGGGTTTCGTCCCCACCCCTGCCTTTTTCGACCTGGATGAGCATCGTACCGGCGTGCGGTCGTGTATCCCTGCTGCGTAGTGCACGATAAAGACCCCAGGCTAGCGGTTGTACTGCACTGACTCAATTGTTCATCTACAGCTGAGAAACAAGTCGCTCGTTGAAGGCAGACTAGACTCACTTCAAGGGTGTATAAACATACCCACAACCAATTTTTCTAATTAAAACATGGTCGATTTTCTCTGTTTTTCTCTTATATCAAAGAACTGCTAAGTAAAGAAGGACAAGCTTTTCTTAAAAAGCTCTCTACCCTTTCCACTTTTGCAGAGGGAGCACTGAAGAGGAAGCGAGCGCCTCCTCGCTCCCTCTCGCCTCGTCTCCAGCGTTGTTTTTTTTTTTTTCTGCTTATTCGGTGCACTAAGCTAACCGGTAAACTTTGATGCCCATGAAATACCTGTCGGAAGAAAAATAAAAAAAAAAGCGCCGTAAAGCGCCGATGTCGTGTTCCCGCTAACAGTGTCGCGCAGTGTGCCCCTTCATTCATTATCAAAAATCCCAGAAGCTAATTCAGTGCGAAATAACGGAATACTTATCTGTCGATTTTTGCTTAAAACATTAGACTGAAATGTATTATCAGTAGAACTTGTTCGCGTCACGAATAACTTTTTTTCCTCTCTCTCTTTGCTCTATATGCAGCTATAATCTGTATTTCGCATGGCTCTGTATTCGTATTTTTTACGTGTAATTGGGAAGGATTCTTCACTGTTTACTGATATTTTTAATAACTTTGTATACTTTGATACTCTTGATACTCTCCTAAAATGAGATGAATTAGAAGTGTAGAAACTGGGAAACCCCGCTCCAAATTTCGCACTGGAAACACTCGACGGAGTAGGCATCTTCCTATCGTCATTACGGCACCAAAGAATCCCTCTTACCCTACTCTTGTGTTAGGCCCTCTTAAATATAATACTTGCGGCGCACCGGCTGATTGAATCACTGTCACTCGTTAACGAGCCATCAGCAAACATAGTCTCTTTTGTGATTAATCGGTATTCTCGGACTCGAACTCCAGCGAACTCGCTCAGTTTTGCCAAAATTAGTAAAGTTACAAAAACAAAATAGTGAAAACCACTACAACATCTCCCCTAGGATTCTAACATTTATCAACTTCATCTAATCATAATTTTATTTAGTCACCAATCGAAATATGGTAACACTATTAGTTCGTGCATATATCCGCCTACCATTTTGCGCAGATTGTCGCGAAACAGATAATTTCTGAATACAATGTACTTTATTTTACTTATTTGCAAGATTTTGAAGGGTTGTGTAGGGGAGGGACCTTATTTCAGCACCTTTTAGTCTGCACTTCTTGAAAATTGATTCTGTTCTTACACTGTTTTGATTCAAAATCTTTTGACCATAATACCCTTGTAGACATAGCATCATCACCCAATTTGGCATGATCCAATTATTAACGTGAAACGTTCTTTGGCTACGTGTTCAGCATTTTGTGAAGCCTACGCGTGACCGCGAGGCTCGACACTGATTGGTGGACGGGTGGGAGAGGAGGAGTGAAGTGCTCGACGCTGATTGGTTAGAGGGGGAGGTCGTGTGACCAGGGGTGAAGAGGAGAGATAGGCGAGGCGGAAGAGGAAGAGTGGACTAGAAGGTTCTGGAAGATTATTATGTTTATCGTTTCAAGTGTACACATGCCACGCGTTAGATTATTCGATGAAGAGCGCCGTGAACGTAGGTGTCTAGCTGAACCGGCTAGGCGTGCTGCCAAACGATGATATAAACGTTTGTGGTGGTGGAACTTTTCACGTATGCAACACTATTGTCTTGTAATTTGTCATGCATTTTTTTTTCCGATACTGTGCCGCGTCAACTGAGTTTCAAACACATCAATAGTCCACCAGGGACCCCTTTCAAAATCTCACCAAGCAACATTGGCGGTCGCAAATGTTTTCGGCACGAAGATTATGATTGGACCCGAGTGTGAGCCGAACGCACACCGAACTTTGATGCAGTCCTCGTATCCAATGCACGCCCAGATTGCGTGCCCGCGCAATGGCGGACTCGAATAATTGAGGCCGTAACTACCAAACAACGCGCACTTTAAAAAAAAAAAAAAAAAAAAAAAACACGTCTATTGTTGTATATTTTGCCCAGCTATATATACACACATTTAAAGACTCAGGTTCAAGATGTCTGGAGTTGCTGACGAGGCCCCATTTCCCGTTCTGTACAGCCAGTACAACATGAGATATAAATAGCAGAAAAACAAAACAAATTACCCATTGATCGAAGGAATTAGAGACACATAAGCCATACGGCCAAACAAAAGCTGGTACAGCACGCCGGAGCGAATAAACAGTTTATTTATTTCAAAGCTAAGATATATACCGTATTTTCCGGGCTGTAGTCCGCGGACTATACATGTTTAAAAGTTGAAATTTGTGGCTGTGCGGTCTATCTACGCGTGCGGACTATACAAGAATTACGTTTTTCAAGATCGTTTATTATAACGAGACGTGACGAATTTTGTGCACGAAAGTGTATGTTAATGACGATTTATGCACATTATAGGCTTTATTGTGAGCTAAAAAGCAGACATTTGTAAACGTGTGCCGTCCATGAGAAGATTTACGTGTCGACTAAGCACCAGGTGCGGACTATGCACCCGGTGCGGGCTATGCACCGGGTGCGGGCCATCTAAGCAAAATCTTTTATTTTTGACCCCGAATTTCCCCCTGCGGACCATACACCGGGTGCGGACTATAGTCCGGAAAATACGGTAGTTCCTGTTCTGTTAAAATTTGGTAATCGCTAAAGCATTGACTTGCTGGTAAGCCAATGCTTTAACGTTTTAACCCAGGATATCGACTGGACCATACACGGCAGAGGTTCTTCTAGACGCGTATGTACTATTGAACTTAAATTATATGCAAATATCGAGAATGTGAGACGACTAATGAAATTATTATAGTAAAAGAATTGGCAGCTACCTTTTATGTCCAAGTTTTATAACGCATGGAACGTATTGAAGAGCGATCGTTTAAATTTGTTTAATATACGTCAAGGATTCGTTCCGGGGAGTGAAGGAGTACATATTGTTTATTAACAGACAGCGCCTTCCTCTTTGTCATCACCATGCACTACAGACAGTGTCGACATGTAGCAACTGAGGTAAGACACGTAAGCATACAACTTAGCCGGCGCAGGGGTAAAAGCATCGTGCTCCGTACTTCGCAGCAAGTGCTGGTGTGCATTGTTTTGCTTATGTTGCCATGGTAACCAAACCGGTTGTGCTGACTTGTACGACCATGCGAGGACGCTTGGATACACGGTCGCACTGGCGGACAAACTTCTGGGAGTAGGGGCCTTCGTTATAAAGCATTCCTTGCTAAAAAAAAATAATATATATATATATATATATATATATATATATATATACGGTTTGCAGGGTACCCTAAAAAGTTTCTGATCTAGAACATAACTATTAATTCATACCGAATTCACGTATGAGACTGTATAACACGGTAGTTAGAGTCCCCCTTAACTACGGTTAAGGCTGTCCGTGTGACTAGATCCGGCTATATAAACCAAGAAACGATACCTGTATCCCTTGAGCACCAGGCGAACGCGGAAATTTCCTTCGGACCGCGCATTGTACCGCAGGGGCCAATCGGCGTGACCGAGGCCGATTAATTTTCCATCAGGCGTACTCCCGATGGCCGTCGCATGCACGTCACGCGCTGTCCGGTCGCACCACAGCGTCCAAGATGCGAGCTCCAGTTGTGCAAGCGACGCAGAAACCGGTCAAGGTGGTCCAGGAGTGCGCGCTTCTTCAGCAGCGACCCGTCGGCGAATATTAGGACGACGTTCCGCTCCCATATGCTAGATCTACTTCGACTCTTGGGAGAGGAAGACAATTTCGAAACTCCGCAATCCATTGTTGCAGAGTCGAACGCACTTTGCCCTCTGCCCTTTGGCTCTTATACGAGTCTAACCCAGAGACCTTGTTCCGCGGCTCGAAGACCAGTTTCCGTCCATTGTCTTTAGCGCTACCCGAATCCATTGTCCCCGTTGAAGAGAACTTCGGGATCCCGGTTCGTTCTACTGGTTGTTTGTTTGTAGACGCATGCGTTATGAGCAAAGTTGGTCCTCCGTATTTTTATTGTATTGTTTATGGGGATAATTTTCGAACCGATGTCACCGCCTCCAACGATTTGCTGCGCGCATCGGTGACACTAACGACGATTCTGTCCCGCTTCCTAATGTGTATACTTGGCCGCTCGATGCGCTTGAGTCTACTGATGTGTACAACCGCGAGATAAGCTGAACACCGCTCGTAATTGCAGCGTGTGCGAAGCCCATCACGCGTGTACAGTTGTAGGTATAACAAAAGCAAGCGG